GGGGGGCACGGCGCGCGGAGGGCACGGCGCCCGAGGGGCGAGCGCGGCCCCGGAGCCTTCAGCCTCCTCATCGTCCTCTTCCTTCTCCTGTCGCCCCAGGATCTTCTTCGGGAAGAACAAAGTCATGATGGTGGCGCTGGGACGCGAGCCAAGCAGCGAATACAAGGAGAACCTGCACAAGGTAGGGGCGGGGGGCGTCCTGTGTCCCCCAAAGCTTCGCCTCGCCCGCGCTGCCTCCCTGTGGATGTTTCAACTGAATCCATCCATATCGCGATACAAAAGCTCTGTCGCTAGCGGAGCTCTCGTAGCTGGGGCTGGGCAGGACTGAAGCCTAGGGGGTTGCCTGGGTGCTGCCCGCCTCCCGTGGCCGGCCCGTTTCTTTCAGGTCAGCAAACACCTGCGAGGTGAAGTCGGTCTCCTCTTCACGAACCGCACCAGGGACGAGGTGGACGAGTGAGTACGCACGTGTCACGGCCAGGGTTCTGAAATGCTGAGCAGCGTTTCCTCCCCTCCCCACTTGACTACCTCACTTGCTGATGTTTCTCTTAATGCAGCGATGCTCCCATGAGGCTTCTCATCTTGTCCTTTTCTGCCATCCCTGCAACAATGGGCTACGCTGTTAATCCCTGTCTTAGCCCCCAAGGGATGTTCCTTCCATGGCTAAAGCTCTCGTTACTCGTCTCCCTCTCAGGTGGTTCTCCAAATTCAAGGAGGTGGACTTTGCCCGCGCAGGGAACAAGGCGACGTACACGGTGAGCCTGGACACGGGGCCCTTGGAGCAGTTCCCCCACTCCATGGAGCCTCAGCTACGGCAGCTGGGATTGCCAACGGCGTTAAAGAAAGGTAGGTGAAGTGGCCGAGAAGGTAAGCTTCATTTTTTATCTGCACAGGTAAGATCTTATTTGATTATTTAACATTCTCCTTATAGTTTTGGAGAAAACCTGATAGCTTTCTGCTTGTTCAGCTGGTGCTAGAACTCCTTACATTCTGTTTGCGCTGTTCCCCCTAAACTGATGCCAAAGATGAGTGAAACAACCAACTTTCTACAAGATACCATCCTTTAGCAGTGGAAACTAGGCCTAGCCTAACCTGCTGCCTTGGCATTCCATTCAGAAACCAGATATGGGATTGTTTGGGGTTTTGGGTTTTTTTTTGAGTTGATCTCGCCCAGCTTCTTGGGGTGTACTCATATTTGCACAGAAGGGCATAAGCTACAAAGGGCAGTGTTTGAGAGTCGGAGCTCCGCACCCCACGTTTCGGTGGGTTTATCCAGTATTATGTGAGTCTGTTTCAAGAGCTTTTGTTCCTGCAGGAGTGGTGACGCTACTTTCAGACTACGAAGTCTGCAAAGAAGGGGACGTTCTCACCCCTGAGCAAGCCCGCGTCCTGGTGAGTAACATCGTAACGCAGCGTCTGTGCGAGCCCCTGTTCCCCCGGTACAAAATAATCGACTTCAGCTTAGTTCCGCTGGAGCATGTATGTTCTCGGATGAAGGTGAGCAGGGTGTAAGTCAGCAAACATCCTTGCGCATTCCTAATGCGGCCATTATTTTGGCTCCTGCTTTGCTGTAGTTCCCATCCGGAAGCGGTATTTTTATGGTGTTTTTGCCAGGCTGGCCACAGTGGAACAGGAATGAGAGGTTTGTGTCCTTTCCTAGAAACTCTTCGGCTACGAGATGGCGGAGTTTAAAGTCACCATCAAATTTCTGTGGAATTCTGAGACGGGAGACTTCCAGAAACTTGTGGGAGATGCAGCAGAGGACGAGGAAGAGGAGGATGACGGTGATGATGACAGCAATGAGGACTAGCAGCAGTCCTTGCGCTTGGACTCTATAGACAGTTCTACTCTATTTTAGAGACAAAAAGAGGAGGATTTTTCCCTTCCCTGTTTGCACCCAGAGGACAAGGGTGATCAGCTCCAACATGCTCTTTGTAAAAGATGACCCAATTAGGCTTTTTTTTATATATATATATAAATCTATATATAAAACCAGATGGTTGTTGCTGCTGCCTGTTACTGTTTGAGCACCCCGGGATCTGAGGAAACACCACCTCAAACATGAAAAAGCTAGGTAATGCGGCTTTGAGGTGGCACACCTGATACAGGGGAGCGGGCTGCGGGTCTGTTCTTACCTCCCGATAAAAGCTTCAGAAGAAGCTTTTTAGCTCAAAGTCACTGAGCGCCGATAAGGACGTGCCAGCCAGGTTAGAGGTACGATTGAGAGGTGGGGTCTGTGTTAGAAAAAGGTTTTATTCTTGTACGTAATTATTTAAGATCATATTAAAGCAGAACAGGGGTCTTCATCCGGTTACCTGTCCATTTTCCCCAATTAACTATCTTTAAATCATAGCACGCACTGCATAGAGCTGAAGGTCCAGGAGGGGAGAAAGAATAAGGCCCCACACGACAAGTGCGGACAGTGGTGTAGTGGATCCTACATAGCTTCTTTAAGACAGGGAAAAATCAACACGTTTAGACGTCGATCAAAGGGGCAGGGTGGGTAAGTACCTCTCCCGTGCTTCGAGAGACTCCTGCTCCATTGTCCACCTGCTTTCTTGTCCCTACCCTAGTGTCTAGCGGAAATAGTTGGGACAGTCGTGTGCAGTCAGGTTCCAGGCTTTATCAAACGCCTCCACGACGGCTGGAAGCAGGGGACCCTCTTCACTATAGTCAAGGTTCTGCTCTAGCTGCTCCAAGTTGGACATCCCGATGATCACTGCGTCTCCGAGAGAACCCTGCAAAGCAGTAAGAGGAGTTGCTGATCCCACAAGGAACCTAGTTCGCTTCCCAAGCCGCTGCAGGCCAAACTTGAAATGTTTCCAATAAAGAACATCCAGTAACTCCTGGGTGTTTAGACAACTGACACCGCAAAGTTGCATTCACAAGGCCAGAACATCTCCAAGTCACGCTGACTCCTCAAAAGGTGCCAAATCCTACTTTACGGGGGACTAGGGGAATATTTTGGGGAGATGGAGAATATAACCATTAATTTCCTAGTCTGATGAAAAGCCAAGTCATCTCCTCGTAGGGAAGCTGGGTGGGAAGCCAAGACCCCAATAACTGGCACTTAAAATCTACCATTTCTGCCAACCCAATGAACACAAGATACCATGCGAAAATGCAGAGCTGAGTCACTCCGACAGCCTGGCCGGCAGAGCCCGTACAGCAGTGTTCCCTTTGGAACGCCACAAGCCCATGGCACACGCACATTAAAAGATAACCGTTTGTACAGAGCCACTTCCCCATTTGCGTGCTGCAACAGCCGCCCAGTTCTGGCTGTGGTGCACAGGCTGCTGGCTTACAGCCGTGTCTAGCTGGTACCTGCAGTTTGGAGTGATTGTACAACCAGCGCAAAGCAGCAGAGGTCAGGCTTGGTGCGTTGGAACCGTAAGCGTCTTTCAGAGCTCTTTCTACTAAGACAATTCCTTCAAAATTGTGTTTTTTCCAGTACCTGCAAGGAAGGAAATTGCTTTTATTGCCCTTGGGACCTCTAGTGAATGGTACATCTATATTCAGAGCAAGTAGGAGAGGGTTTCAGGAAGCATCATGCAACTCTTCGTAGCCTCTGAGGGCTTCTGCAATCCCCCACAGCAGGCCAGGAGGAAGCTGAGCCTAAAAACCACTCTGCAAAGCTCAGTCACAAGCCCCAACCACATGTGCAGACGTAATCACTGCACAAGCTTTGGTCAATTCTGCTTCCTCTCAGCTGATTATTAGTGTGTTTTTTTTATTTAGCCACCCCTGCTGCATCTCCCTGCTTGTCTTATTGGCTCAAAACATACCTGTCCCTGTAGGCTTGAGCCCAGTCATTCCCAAAAAACCTTCCAGTGGGCTGGTGTGTGTCTTTGTCTTCATACTTGTACTTGCCGGTCAGCAGCCCTCCTGCAAAGGGTCAGCAGCATGTTTAGTGGTGGGTTGCCTCTTCTACAGCCCCCATTTCGCATGTTTTCATCTCAGAAGTCTCACCCTTTCCCTCTCCGTACCTGCCAGCGGATTGTAGGCGTAGAACCGCAACCCGTAGTATCTCAGGCAAGGGAACAGCTCGGCTTCCACCTGGCGAGTGACCGCATTGTACATACCCTGCACAAAGATGAGGGAGACAACTTCAAACACCAGCTCATGACAGCAGTCACAAGCACCTGGAACAGCCTTTCCTGGCCCCTTCCCTGACAATACTCTCATCCTATCCAGAAGAGCAGCTTTAGGTCATACAGCGTTATCTGCTCAGGAACAGACTTTCTAAAGGATTGCAAGTCCAGAAGAGCAGCTTTAGGTCATACAGCGTTATTATCTGCTCAGGAACAGACTTTCTAAAGGCTTGCAAGTAACAGAAAAACTTTTATGAAGTTCCACATCAAGAGGGTCACTGACTCGGGCAATAAACGCATACTCAGCTTTTTCTGAGGTGATCTCACTCAGCTTTCTGATCACATGTGTCCTGAAAGGACTTCCCAGACTAACCAGAGCACTTTCCTTTTTTGAGTTTCTATCTGGCACACTGGGGACTGGTCCAAGATTTGGGGCTCCCAGACCATTCCCCACTGTCGCTGTAAGGACACAGAGAACCAGCTGCACACTGTTCTGATCCGAAGCCTCATATTTGTTGTTTATCTCAGCCTCCACAAAAGATCTACCGGACCACAGCAAACCCCCAGCCCTCACCTGGTACACCGTTGGCATCAACCAGTTGTTGTATTTGCAGATGGTGCAGATTTCTGCGACCTCCCATGCTGCGTAGTTTGATAGACCGAGTTCTTTAAACTTTCCCTGCAGAGGAATAAAAAGGTATTCAATTCCAGATTTTAAAAGTGCATCTGTACCTAGACAGTGCAAGGTGCAAACAATGAAAAGGACAGTCGCCAAATTTTATTCCAGAGTTCATCCCTCATCCCTGTTCACCTCTTCTAGATGACTATAAATTACCAGACCTGTCATTTCTATTCATTTTGAATTCACACCTTCTAATTTACATGGCACTGTTACATGAATGCAATTCAGGAATTCTTCTTCACACATTACCAGCACTAATCTTAATCTAGTCAGTTAACACAGCAGAAAGCAAAGTTCAGATGTTCTAACGTTTCCAAGAGCTTTTGGGAACAAAGTGCACCACGTGAACACTCCACGGAGCGTCAGCTCTTTGGCTTTGCCCTGGTCGCCTGTGTCCCCTCTTCCTAGTGTTGCACAAACCCAACACTGCAGAAGGGCACAAGAAGCAGCCCTGGTTGAAAAAGGTGATGGGAGGGAATCAAGAGATGGCCCAGGCTGGGACTTCCCACTTTACTTCTTTGTGCAGCTCATTGCAGGCACGCAGGGTCTCCTCCACTGGGGTCCCATGGTCAGGAGCATGGAGGTAGAAGAGCTCCACGCTCGTCCTCTTCAGCCTCTCCAGGGATGTTTCCAGCTGCGATCGCACACTTTCAGGCTTCAGCGTCTTCCCATCCCAGGGATTAGCCTTGGTGGCAACTTCCACTGGCAGAGAGAAAGAAAGAATGAGCAGGGACACTTCCACCTTCAGGAAGGGAATGGAGATAAGGGGCACAATGCAAGCACTGCTCAAGGTGTTTGAGTGAAGGCTCTTCTCCTCGGGAACCACATCTGCCTAGCAGGGGAGGCCCCTCTCCTTAGAGACTGCAAGTCTGCCCTAGAGAGGGAGGCCCCTCTCCTCAAGGCCCGGGGGTCAGCACTAGCAGGGGAGTCCCTTCCCCTCAGGGACGGTGTCAGCCCGGCAGGGAGGTCCCTTCCCCTCAGGGACGGTGTCAGCCCGGCAGGGAGGTCCCTTCCCCTCAGGGACGGTGTCAGCCCGGCAGGGAGGTCCCTTCCCCTCAGGGACGGTGTCAGCCCGGCAGGGAGGTCCCTTCCCCTCAGGGACGGTGTCAGCCCGGCAGGGAGGTCCCTTCCCCTCAGGGACGGTGTCAGCCCGGCAGGGAGGTCCCTTCCCCTCAGGGACGGTGTCAGCCCGGCAGGGAGGTCCCTTCCCCTCAGGGACGGTGTCAGCCCGGCAGGGAGGTCCCTTCCCCTCAGGGACGGTGTCAGCCCGGCAGGGAGGTCCCTTCCCCTCAGGGACGGTGTCAGCCCGGCAGGGAGGTCCCTTCCCCTCAGGGACGGTGTCAGCCCGGCAGGGAGGTCCCTTCCCCTCAGGGACGGTGTCAGCCCGGCAGGGAGGTCCCTTCCCCTCAGGGACGGTGTCAGCCCGGCAGGGAGGTCCCTTCCCCTCAGGGACGGTGTCAGCCCGGCAGGGAGGTCCCTTCCCCTCAGGGACGGTGTCAGCCCGGCAGGGAGGTCCCTTCCCCTCAGGGACGGTGTCAGCCCGGCAGGGAGGTCCCTTCCCCTCAGGGACGGTGTCAGCCCGGCAGGGAGGTCCCTTCCCCTCAGGGACGGTGTCAGCCCGGCAGGGAGGTCCCTTCCCCTCAGGGACGGTAAAACCCCAGCAACTTCCCCCAAAAAGCACCGGCTTTGGAAGGAAACCAGCAAATTGCCGAAAAAGCAGCAGATTTGCAAAGGAAACCCGGCAAGTTTCTGAAGAAGCAGTGGAGTAGCACGGCAAAAAACCAAAACAAACCCCAAGTTTCCGAAAAAGTGCGTTTTTAAAGAAAAACCAAGCCGGTTTCCCAACGGCCGCCAGCGAAGGAAGGTAAGGCCCTGCTCCGCCAGGACGCGCCGGTTGGGGTTTATTTCTCCTTTGAGGCCAAATCCCGCCGGGATGATGGCCTTCCCGGGCGGGTGTATCCCACCACCCGCAATCGAGCCGCAGCCGGAGGAGCCGTGAGCGTGTTCTTAGGACAGATCTATTTTTCCCCAGGATTATTTAATTTTTTCCTGTGTTATTGCATTTTTCCCAGCATTATCCTGACAGTTCTGCTGCCAGACACTAATAAACCTCCCTCGGCCGAGCTGAGCGCCAGAGACCATGGATGCGCGGCGCTGGAGGGGTCTCCCACCCGGGAATCTTTCCGACTGTCCCAACGGCTCCCGCTGGGTGATGGATGTGTTCAACGAATGCGCCCAGGACGGCCGGGACATGGCCAGCATCGTCCTGGGTCTGGTTTCCATCTTCTGCTTTGCAGCTGCCTCTTTTCCGTAAGTATCACTCCCAAAACCCGGCCGAGCCCTCCCCAAATTTCAAGCGCAAGCTGCCTGAATTATTAAATCTACCCAGCAAAAGCAGTCTGGGCTTGGAAAATTTAGATTTAAAAGGAGGAGAGGGAGCAGGCGGTGCAGCCCCAAAGCCTTGTTTGTTATTATATTATTATTACTGTGCTTGGCAGCTGTAATAACCCACGTAAGCCAACTGCAATGCAGTCATTACAGGTCATACGTGCAGAAAAAATGTTTCCGGGAGCCCTGGGCTTCTTGGAAGTGCTGGGGACAGCCGTGGCGGAGAGGTACATGGGGGGTCACACTCAGTCTCGGTGGATCATCAGGTTATTTCGTAACCAGAGCGGCGGTTTCTGCAATCGGAGCTTCTCCTCGCTGCTTTCTGCCCCTGCACGAGGGACAGATCACAAGGGCTTGAGCCCGGCGGGTTACTGCGAGCACCCAACGGGCCGCAGGACTTCTGACAGGGGCCACTTTGCAGTGGATCATGTGGCTTTGCTGGAGGAAATGTCTGCTTTTCCTCCCCCCCAGCCCTCCCTGAGTGCTTTGGGCAGGTGGCAATTGCAAAACGATCCAGGTGGGAACAACAGGGAAACCTGGGGATGGTTCCCAGTTAGCACCGAACCAGCTGGGGGTAACGCTTTGTGTCTCTGCCCAACGCTCTCTCTGCAGGCAGTTTTACCAAGCCTGCAAAACGGGCGTCATGGACCAGGCTCTCTCCATATATTTCCTGCTGGGATGGCTGGGTGGAGACCTTCTAAACCTCATTGGTTCCTTCCTGGCCGATCAGTTGCCACTGCAGGTACAGAACAACTCGCTGGGGCTGGGTTGGCTCTCAAACACCCCAAACTCCAGGGAGAAGGGATTGGATGGGTGCTGCTTAATCCATCACCGGGAACCAGAGACCCAAATGGCCGAGGGATGCTGCCTTCTCACCCCGGGGATGCCCCCTTCCTTGTCCTGCTGTCAGCTGGAGGCCTTTCTGCAGGCAGGACCAACCCGTCCTTCTCCCTGCAGGTTTACACGGCTGTTTACTACGTGCTCGCTGACCTGGTGATGCTGTCTCTCTACTGCTACTACAAAGCGAAGAACCGGGGTGGAGGATGTGAGTTGGCGTTATGGGCACAGCGGGGCTGTGCGTTCCCCTCGGTGCGTCTTTGGGGCTGGCTTGTCCTCAGCTGCAGAGCAGGAGAGGAAGCAATCCCGGGAGGAGATAAATCGGGGCAGGGGTGCTTTGCAGATGCATTGATGTGGCTACGAGATGCCCCTTGTTGCTCTTTTTTTCTTAGCTAAACTGAGCATCCATGAAAGCCACAGCGGGTACATAGCCACCGGCCATACCTGGGCCCTCTGCAGACCCCTGCAAACCACCGTGTGCAGCGTCCGGGTTGAAAAGAACCTCCCCTTGAGTTGCCTTAAGTATAGAAAAAAAATTACTCAACTGCAGTTATGCAGTGGCTCCATCTTGGAGCTGGAAACCATAGCCAGATCTCGACTCAGGCCACTGATTTAAGGGAAGGGGTGAAGTTTTCTGGCTGTTGCAGGGTCGATACTCCTCTCGCCACTAACAGCAGCCTTGATGGAGAAGTTCCTCCCTGTTCAAGTGGAGTAAGAAGGGAACCTGAATGGGGTTCTGCAGTTCTTGCAAAGCTTAAACAGCAAGAGAAAACCCACTTCTTAGCGTAGCAGCTTTCTGTGAGCTACAAACAGGCATCCCTTTGGATCCTGAAAACTATTCAGCTTATTAAAGCCATTTGAATTTATTAAACCAATTGATAGGTGGCCCACCAGTTTGGTTAGGACTGGAGAGTTTGTTTACAGAATATAACACAAGTTTAGCTGTCAAAGCAGGGCTCGGTCTGGCGGGGATTTGAACGTGCACCGCTGTGAGTTAAGACAGTGAAAAGTTTCTGGACGGGGGGGGCAGTGGGGCGTTGATTTAAGCCCTATAGCTGAAGAAACTCTCGATCTGCCGAGATAGGAGCAGCTTCCTCCCTGATAACTTACAAATTGCCCATATCGCTGTGAGATAAAATGCCGGCGGCAGCTATTGCCTGAATTACTCAGTGCTGGCTCTGCTGCCACAGAGATAAGGGAGAGCTTGAAGGTCTCTGTACCCAGAGGGGTTCCTGGTGCCCACCAGGGCTGCGGGGCTGTGCTGGGGGCTGATGGAGGAGCCCTCCCTAACCAGCCTCCGCTTGATTCCCCACAGTCACCGCTCTGATCAACGCAGCCTTCGTCTTCCTTTCCCTGGGGACGGTGTCGACCGTCTCCTTCCTGGGCAGAGGTGCTGCCTCTGTGCAGGACCCGGTGACGTTTAAAGGGAGGTCGCTGCTCTCTGCTCACATGGATGAGCCTGGGTTGAAGGTGAGATGGTTCCTAAACCTGGGTGATGGGAGGAGAGAAGATAAAGTGTCCAGTGGGGTGGGCATGTCCTGCTGGACCAGTGCAAGCCTGCTTAACGCTCAGCAGGGCGAGGGAGGGATGGAGAGAGCAAAGGCTGGGTTTTAGCCCTGCTGTCGCCTCACACGGAGCCGCGGTGTGGGCGGTAGGCACCTCTCTGAAAACACGGGGGCTGCTGGCAGCCCCCCCTTGCCTTGCAGCCTTTCACCAGGAGCGAGATCATTGGCTTCACTATCGGCTCAGTCTCCTCCGTGCTGTACCTGTGCTCCCGAATCCCCCAGATCTACACTAACGTAAGCACCGTGCCGTGAGCAGGGCAGGACAGCAGCCCAGCCCTGGGGGCCCCCTGGGGTCCTGAGATTTCAAATCAAAGAGGGGCAGTGGGATCATCTTTCCCCTCTTTGCTCAGAGGTCCCAGGTCCCTGTCTGTGATGATTTCATAAGGGACTATTTTTTTCTGTATCTCTGTTCCAAAACCTGATTAATTTTTCTTCCATCCCTTTAACATACCAATATTTTGAGGGCGGGGCTTTCATTTTGTCTTTATTTACAAGCAAAAGGGGAACTGAAAGGTTCTTGGCATTGAGTCACCACCTTTTTTCTTCTCTCTTTTTTGGGTGGAGGGTTACTTATTAATGCTACTTTCTAGTGAGATTTCAGAGAGCTGCATCCGAGCTCCTCTCTCTGGCCCCTTTTCTTCCAGTACAAGAGGAAATCCACCATCGGGGTCTCCTATTCTCTCTTTGCCCTGGTGATGCTGGGGAACTTGCTCTACGGCCTCAGCGTCCTCCTGAAGAACCCTGAGCAGGGGCAAAGCGAAGGCGACTACGTCCTGCACCACCTCCCCTGGCTGGTGGGCAGCCTGGGCGTCCTTTCCCTCGACGTGGTTGTATCCTTTCCCTGCCAACACTTCCCTCTGGGATCCCATCCCGCCAGCCAGGCTTTGCAGGGAGTGACCCCGTCTCAGGGCAGGCGGGGTTCGGCAGGAGCGGGTGGGTTGATGCACTCAGCGGTTGCTTTTGAGCTGTGCTTGCTCACCCGCATGCCAGTGATTAATTTATGGTGTTGCAACCACTGAATGCTTCAGACCTTTGTTTGCATTAAGCTCCTTGTCCTGTTTCCAGCTCTCCTGGCACAAACAGCCTTTTTTCGGGTGGCGAGACCCAGTGCATCGTGTAGATCCACCTTTGCTTGTGTGCGGAGCCTTAACCTCTTCTCAGATCTCCTTCCAGTTCCTTGCTTATCGCAGAGAAAGACCTGGTAGTGGCGAAGAGAGGGGTGCTCTTCTTGGCGAGCAGGGTGATGGCTTGGAGAGCTGACGAAAGGACCTGCCCTGGAGCAAGAACAGGATGATGCGGACGAGAAAGCTGGCCCTAAAGCCGGGCAAACCGGCCCCTCCATCCGGGCGGCTCTTGGGAGAAGAGGACTCAGCTAGTGGGTGACCTGTTGTGCTGCTGAGATGCTAAGCCCAGCCAGGTGGCAGGGGATGCTGCTGAGAGACCTCATGCCTCTTTGATACCAATGATGCTATCGGGATAAACAGGGAATTATTTGATACCTCAGAAGGTCACTTTTTGCTGCTCTTAGGCCCCACAGCTGAGCCCGGTCACTTCTGCTTCACCTGCTGTCTCTCCAGGGTGATCTGGAGCTTCCTTGGTACTGGCAAACGTGGGAAGAGGGGACAGTGATGACCGACCTGCCACGAGCACCGCTTACCTGTGCGGGCCTCGCGTCTCCACCACTGAGCTCTTGCTGGAAGATACAGCAGTGACTGGAACCAGTTCAGGAGGAGGAAGGGAAGGAGCGGCGTAACCAAAGTGTTTCGGTTCACACACACATTTTAATACCTCACGCATCTGTAAAACAAGTCCTTGCCTGACGTGCCTCCTTTGGTTTTATTTTGCCGGTTCGTCTGGCAGCTCCTGCCTCTTTCTTAATGTGTCTCATAGTCCCTGTTTCCCTGACCGCATTTTTTGTCTCACCCATGTTTTAATTGCATGGGCTTCATCAACCAGCTCCATCTGGTTAGCTGTGGAGGCCGTTACCCAGGCAGAAGATGCTGCCTCTCTGCTCGGTCTGGTTTTTGGTCCTGCCTTCTCTTTCATGAATTTATCCCCAATTTGATGAATTTACCCCCCTTTTGGGACCCTGCACGCCAGCTCCTTGACCGCGCAAGGGCAAGAAGCAGCGTCGGTTTAGGAAGAAGCCGTGTCCCTGGCCGGAGAGCAGCTTTTGGGCAGGCTGGGGAGAGCGGTGGTGTAGCCAGGAGGTGGCTGCCTCCCTCCCCTGTGCGGAGCTGTTTCTGCTGGGGAGGAGCAGCTCCATCTCACGGGGCAGGCAAGAGGAAAATCAACCAAAGCTTGTAGCCCCTTCAAGAAAAGCTAACAGGACTTCGTCTTTTAAACACAAGAATTTTCCTTTTCCTGCAGTCACTATTACCTCTTCTTTTTGCTCCCCTTTCTCCCTCTCCAGCTTCTTTCCCGATACCCAGCACTTCCCTGCTGCCCACCCATGCAGCCCCCTGCTCCCTGCCCCTTTTGGCTTTAGCTATACTATCGTTAATTTACAATTCCCCAGCCAGGCCCATGACATTTCACCTTCCCAAGGCAGTTGCCCTCCTCCCTGCTTCATCCTCACTCCGAGGAGGCCAAGCCACGGCTCTGGGATTACACAGCTCAGCCTAGACCGTAGGCGAAATGGGAGTCAGATGAGCCGATGCCCATCAGACTGCAACAGCAGATTAATTAAAACCCGAGCTGTGCCGGTATTTGGAGCTGACCCATTTGGGTTTGGAAAGAAAAAATGTTTTTCAGACTCTCCAAGTCCCGTGAACAAAAGGGGGTGGGGTTTTTCACTCCATCAATTCACAATCCTTCCCCTCCAGGCTCATGGGCGATGGGGCCACTCGCCTCTTCCTCGTCCTGGAGCCAGCAGGATTTCCTCTGCTGTCTTTCCATAAGAATTGCAGAAAAACAATTCCTATCTAATACTAATACAAACCATCAGCAGATTCCTAGCAAGAGAGAAAGCACAGCTTGGTTAGACCGCTATTTATTACAGATAAAGACCCTGGGGCTTGGTTTTATTAAAGGAGTGGGTTTTAACCTCGGCTCATGTTTGCTGGCTCAGCCCTGAGGTGCACGGTTGGTTTACTGAGAGCTGGATTTACTGAGCTGACCTGCGCAGGGGGCTAGGGTGGGATCTGGCACGCCAACCTTGCGGAAACGAAGGCTCATGACACCAGATACTTGCCATGTACTGGCTAGCCAAGAGTTTTCTTAAAACCAGAAAAACAACCTCTGATAGAAGGAGGTTGAATATATATATATGTGTGTATGTTTATGTGCCAGCAGCCACACAGGTGGTGGTGGATGGAAATTCATGTCGCAAAGAGCCTCTCGCTGAGGTTATCGTCCCTCTGAGACTGTAACGCAGCCCTGTCCCCAAAAGAGCCTGCAATTAAAGATTTTGCAGGGGCAAGCGTTAAACCAGAAAAAGCACGGAGCAGAAACAACTTGTGCCAGAGTGTGAACATAACTCGGTGGTGGGCTGGGGGCTGCAGTAGCCAAGCCAAAGCTGGAGGTTAATTCCCAAACCATCGGGTTCCGCTGCTTTGAGGAATAAACCGCTGCCGTAGTTGCATCTGTCCTGCAGCACGTACCCATACGAGTGCTCTGCGGAAAGGGTTTAACCCTGCACGCAAGCCATCGGGGCGTCTGTATACCCCAAGCCTATACATTAAATGCATTGGAGAGGAGATGCTTCCACTTTCAGCTTGCATGCACAGATGCGGCTTTGGAGAAGGAGAACAAATCCCCTGAAAACTTTAGCCCATGACAACTGGGAACAGGGAAGAGGAACCGCGAGTCTCCCCCCCTCCCAGGCTGACACGTGATTTCCAAGCTTCAAGAGTTCATGCAAACTTATCTCCAACTTCAAAAAAGTTCTTACTTGGACAGAACCAAGAGGCAACAACGACCAGATCCTGCCACGTCCCCCTGGGGATGCCAGCTCCGAGGCCAGCACGCGTCTGCCTGCATCCCACGTGAGCCGCCCCTTGGAGCAGAGGCCCCCGGGTAAACACTCCGGCACGGGGCTGTAATCACCTGCAGATGTCTGGATGTGAAATAGGTCACCTTAGAAAAGCAAAATTAAGAGCGCGTTAATCAATATTAATGCCAACAGTCTCCATTTGCATAGGTTTACCCCAAGGCCAATTCCAATGGCCACGTGCAGGAAAAGCCCAGTGGGTATTTGCTTCCTCAATTTCACCAGGATTAAGAGTTTGTTGTAAGCAAGGCACAAAGCAGGCAGCGGACCTGAAGCCGTGCATGGTCCCTCTGACCACCAAGGGTTTAAAAGAAGGGGAAAACCTAAATGAGCTCCACACATCACACGGGGAGCAAGCAGAGAAGGAGCTTGTGGGTGAGCATCAATGGTTGGAACCATCCACCTCCAACTGCCCCAAAGCAGGCAGACGACCTGAAGCCGTGCATGGTCCCTCTGACCACCAAGGGTTTAAAAGAAGGGGAAAACCTAAATGAGCTCCACACATCACACGGGGAGCAAGCAGAGAAGGAGCTTGTGGGTGAGCATCAATGGTTGGAACCTTTTTAATACACCCAGTAAAGCTGGACTCATCTTTCTCTAAATACATCTGCTGGACGTCTGAAGCATCAATCCCAGTGGGATGACAACACCCCAGAATCATAGAATCACAGAACCGTTTGGGTTAGAGAAGCCCTTTAAGCTCCTCAAGCCCAGCCCTTACCCCCACCCTGCCATCCCACCACTAAAGCACAGCCCTGAGCACCTCAGGTAGAGCAGGCAAACGAGTGCGACAGCTGCCCTATGTCCCACCCGCCTTAAAACAAACAAGATTTTAAAAAAAGAGGAAAAAAGCGCTTTGTTTTCTGTGGCCACATAAGCCAGCGGCTGGTGGGCGTGGCCCTGGGCCCGGGGGTTGGCC